GCTAAAGTTATTGCTTACTAGGATTTTATCACTGTCCACGATTTTAATGATTTTATTATAGTTCAGAAAAAAGAAAGAAAAACGGAAGAGTAAATAAAGAAAAAAGTGGAAGAGAAAATGCTAGCTATATTTCGATGAGAATTAAAATTTGCATTGTGACTACGGAAGTGTGTAAAAACCAAATTACACCTAAACCAATTTTTTAACATTTTTCAATTTCAACGTTGATTATTTACGTGGAGTTATTTTCGATTGTTAGTTAGGATTGATTTCAGTGATATGTTGGGGTAATAAATGAGAATTTTAAGGAATTTTTAAGATCTCTACAGGTTAGAGTTTTTAAAATTCATCAAAGTAAATATTATAGTAATTGTAGTTTTTAGTTATCTACGTTAAAATATTATTAATAATATGGCTGAATACGATTTGACGAAAAGGATGGCACCATTTTTTGATCTTCATTTAGTTATACCACTGTTGGAGTTTATTGAACCAAGGAGTGTAAGTTGATTTATTCCCTTTTTTTTGTTGTTTTGAATTAGAATTTTTAGCCTATCTTTATTTTTTTTTATTCTTTGCTTTACTGCAAGTTTTAATGCAATTTTTAAGCAAATTTTTATTGATTCTTTGCAAATTAAAATTTAAGTTAAAGTCGAGCACATTTCGGTATTTTGGATGTGTTTGTATGTAGCTACTTGAAATTTTACACGCTGGCTATCTTAATAAATTGGTTGCTGCGTGGAACTTATAAATTACATGAAATTTAACCAAAGTAGTTCATTCAAATGCATTTTCTATTATTAAAATTACTTCTTCCAGATATATGATCACGATTCACTGATTAAAGTGCATCGTCGAGTTTTGCTGAAGACAAATATGATCGATAGCGTAATTGAAACTTATCCAGAAGGTGAAGTGCCAAAGGAGCTAGAGCAGCGAAAAGTTGAAATTTTAAGCCAGGTATTTGTTATCTTTCCATATTTAACAATTTGGGATTTAATATAGGAATTACATTAATTAAACATTTATGAATTTTCTTTCCTTATTAAAGATTATCAGATTATGTGCATTAGAATAATTAATACAATTATAAACCCCATTATTCATTATTTTATCGCAGTACTTGCATAAGCTTATATATTTACCGACTTGTTTTTACTTATTTGTTTGCTCATTTATTTTTTATCGATTTATAAAATCATGTTACAGCGCGAAAAACTGAAGGTTAAAGTTGATCCAGTTGTAGAAATTCTGGAGTCAGAGCCAGTGAAAGCAATGATGGATAGTCGAGAATTGACGAATAATCGAATTCTTGAATATGTTACTGCAAATCATGGGGTAGTTTTTTTATCACAATGGCTAGAAGTTCACATACTTTTTATGATGATATATTTGTTTGTAAACATGTTCCATAGAAGCTGGTAAGCGGCATATAAATTTAATATTCTTTACAGCTTACTGAAGAGATGCTTGACTCATTGTTTCGCTACGCCAAGTTCCAGTACGAATGTGGTAATTACTCTGCTGCATCGTTATGTCTTGATTACTACCGTAATATTGTACCGCAACAAAATCCAAACTATCTGAGTGCATTATATGGCAAATTGGCTTCCGAAATATTGCTACAAGTAAGTATACCTGAGATAAATTAATGCCTTTGAGGAATTCTTTAGTGATAATGCTGATAATTAATCAGGAATAGAATTGCAGCATATGTCTACACTGAAATGATACAAAATGACATAATTGTTGATAAGTTAATGTGTAACAGCAAAATTGAGATTTGCAAAATTTTACCAACAATTATTCTCACTAAATCATAATTATGTTCATCCAGAACTGAATATTTGTTTGTTGACTGCTCTGTATTCTTTTATTTCATTAATTCAGGGGAACATAATCACTTTCATTTCCTTTTGTCTGGGAAAATTACATTTTATGATAAACAATTAGTGAAGTGAAAAGTATGAATTCTTTCTGATATATACCTTCGAGAGGAAAAGATTTTTGCTTTTTCCAGGAATGGACACATGCTAAAGATGATTTGACCAAATTGCGAACATACATTGATTTTAATCCATTTGATACCGAATTAGAATCAGTGCAACAGCGTGCATGGTTAATGCATTGGGCTCTTTTCGTTTATTTCAACTATCCGAAAGGACGCGATGAAATTGTTGAAATGTATCTCAATCAGCAGCCGTATTTGAATACAATACAGGTAGTTCTGTAATGTATATGTTTTTTTTTTTTTTAATCTTTCCTATATTTTTTTATCCTCTAAAAAAAAAATTACAAACATTCGTTTCCATATACGCATGATACAGTGCTCTACACCTCTCCATTTCACGTGATCCACAAGCGTACGGCATTCAGAATGTTTATATTACAGGAATTCTTTTCTCCTTAGCTCTCTTATTATACTTTACAGTAATAACAACTCTTTTTTTTTTCATCTTGTATATATAAAATATAAGCGACATATTTTGATTATTATTTTAGATAGCTTGTCCGCATCTTTTACGATATTTGGCTGTAGCAGTTGTAACGAGTAAAACAAAGCAGAAAAATAGTTTGAAAGATTTGATCAAAGTAATCGACATTGTAAGTTATTTTATTGAAATATGAGCTAAATGTAATTGACGATAATAAGTTGTTGCGAACAGATAAATTGTGCATACGACGAGGATAGGCTTATATCGATTTTATTATTATACCTCGTTTTGACTTTTTAGTTTTTTGATTATTTAATGTTTTCTTTCTTCATTAATCTTTTTTTTTTTTTTTTTTTTCAAGGAACGGCATAATTATGAAGATCCAGTTACCGACTTCTTAACTTGTCTTTATATTAAGTATGATTTCGACGAGGCGCAAAAAAAGTTGAGGAAGTGCGAAGATGTCAGTTTATTTTTATTTTTGAGTACCTTATACCATCTTTCTGGCTAAAAGAAAGATTCTCGTCATAGTCGTGAATTATTATGGCAGTTTCAGGTTTTATCAAATGATTTCTTTCTGACTGCTTGCTTAGAAGATTTCCGAGAAAGTGCTAGGTTGTTGATTTTTGAAATGTTCTGCAGAATTCATCAGTGTATTTCGATACAAATGCTTGCCGAGCGTCTTAATATGCAGCAGGTATGCATACAATTCTTTCAGAAAAAATTTTCTTTTATTTTGTAAGTTAAGTGGTGCTGCAACATGGAACAATGGAAAATTCATAAGGTAAGCCAGTTAAAATAAAAATTTTCTGAATCATTATACGAGAGTTGTATTTCAGGTAGAAGCAGAAAGATGGATTGTTGATTTAATTAGAACTTATCGTATTGATGGTGCCAAAATTGACTCCAAACTTGGACAGGTATGTTTGTCGACATTGTTCGAAGTTTTACATTTCTTAGAGCTTTATTGTTATGTAAAATTGTGCTAGGTTATCACCATGAAAGTTAGTTTAAGGTGGAGATGTTGAATAGTTCGAATGATACTTTATATTTCTATTTTCTATTTCCATAGCTAATTAATTTGTTTTAAAGGTTGTTATGGGTGCTAAAACTACATCTGTTCATGAGCAAGTGATGGAAAATACGAAACGATTGACATTTCGAGCGCAACAAATTGCTCTACAATTGGAAAAAATGAAATTAGATAAAAAAGTATGTATTATTCTCAATTTCATATATTGTGAAGACTTCCGAAATTTTTAAAGGCACACTGCCGCACTTATTGTTATGATGCCGTTTTCACGTTGTTAGTAGATATCGTCCATGTGTACATTTTTTAAAAATGGAATTTCAAACCTAAATTACTAAATTTCAGGGCGCTTGGAAGGCTGAATTATCATGATATTAATTACATGGGAAGTAATTTGTGATTAAATGATTGCATTTCTGGGCTGTGAGAGCTTTTTTTTTTCTATCTGAATTGTTTGGAAGCTTTAATATCACCAGTCCTTGAAATTTTTTCCATGCTTTTGTCATGAAGAAAATGTAGAATGGTACGGGATGTTCAATTTAGCACTGATTTTTTAGCCGGTCATTTCATTTTCATTTGTATATCTAATTCCTTGTTTAAATTTTGGACAAAATAATTGGTTGGATGATCTATTTATCTGTATCATGCAATAAAGAAAATAAAGTCTTATTGTGGAATTATCAATACAAAATTTGATCTTTTTATCTTCTGTTATAAAATTCCACAAATTGATTGAAGATTTTGTCAGCTTTTTGGTATTAAAAGATTAATATTATGATATTATTAAACAATAACGAATTAAATTTTTCGAATAATTTGAATCATTTCAATAGAATATTGTTCACAATGTAACAGATATTCTTCCCAATGAACAGAAAAGAGTAATTGTTTAGCTTAATGTCTACAGAGAAATTTGGATTATCATTAACAATTTACAAATGATATAACTAGGATGAACTGTATTTCTAAACATGTTAAATAAATTTAATTCTATTGCTTTTTAGTAATTGTACTAAAAGTTACGAAAATTATACTTGCATTAAATATTTTAAGTTTTGATTTCGATTAATTTTAACATAATCTAATTTTTCCAGTGAACGATATTTATTAAATTTACACTTTGTTATTTTGTTTTTGTTTCAACGTTTGTACTATTTTTGGATAAAATAAAATGATAATAATGTTCTTTCTTCTTTTTTCAAAAAAAATTCTTAATTTTCTTGTTCTTAAATTATGAATGAAAAGTTTAGTATTACATTTATGAATTGATGTGATCTACAGTTATCCATAGAAAATTTATGATTATTATCACTGTAACACGTGAGGTGATAAATAATGATATAAGCATAATCTTGTACGCATTTATTGATTATTTACTACTTTCCAATAAAATACAAACGCTCAAATGATATGTAAGTGATTTGTAAGTCTTTGATAATTTTATGCTTATCACATTGTTAGCTTATCAGATAATAGTCATAAAAAATATTTGCTATTATCACTTATCATCCATAAACTGATAATTGTTATTTCAATCAACTGTTCCATTTATTCTGTAATTCTGACTTATCAGTAATTGTTGATGTTATCGATGAGCTTTGATCTGTTTCACCACTATAATCACTACTCTTATCACTACTAGTTGTAACACTTCTCGTATTACTTGACTCTAAAACAAAAAGAATTAAGAAAAAAATTTATAGTACAAATTAATTATTGCAGTAAAAATTTTTTTTAAGCAAAAAGAAAAAAAAAATTAATTTAACTATGTTCAAAAATAAACATTCATTAATCAATTATATAACGTAACGTATTTTTTAGCAAAGTAAGCGTAATAAACGTGATAAAAAAAAAGAAAAAACCTTCACTTTCAGGTGAACTACCAGCTGTTTTACGTTGTCTTCGTGATTGTTTATTTTTGCTACCTTTTGTTTTATCTGAAACTATAAAAAAAAAAAAAAAAAAAAAAAAAAAAAAAAAAAAAAAAAAAACATTTAAACAATAACACTTTTTTATACTTATTTAAATAGAAATTAAATTTCTCTTTAAAATTTCCATTTTTTTCGTTGTGTTTGTAAAATTTTACAGAATTTATCATTTAAATTCTTTTTCTTTTCTGACTTCAATTTCATATTTAACTATAATTATTATTAATTAATCAATAAATTTATTTCTAAACAATTCTAATATTATTTTCTTTCTCTTTTTTCTTCCATCTCTCCTCCTTTTCTCTCTCTCTTTCTCCTCTGTGTTTTTCTTCTTTCATAATTTAAAAATATTATGTAAAAATTGAACGAAAATTATTTACATTTTATCATTTATCGAAATTGCTCAAATTTTCAAAAGACTTTCAAAATTAATTGTATATATATTTTTTTTTTTTTAAAATAAGAAAATGATAAATAATAATTAAACAAAATTTCAAAATTATTTTTACTTTATTTAAAAGAAAATTTTGGATAGACTTCTATTACTTATATAAATTAGCAGTTGTAATTTTTAAATAATTTATATTTTATTCATTCACTTAAAAAGTTTCACTTTAAATTCATCCAAAATTTTTTTCATTCATTCATTTAAAAAAAAAAAAAAAAAAACGCATAAATTTTCATACCATTTCCATCTTTTGATGCTTTCTTTTCATTTTTTTCATTCTTAATTACAATATCCTTTTTTTCTGAGAAAAAAAAAAAAAAAACAAATCTTTTTGGTTTTCTTTTTACAAATTAATTTTATAAATTTTAATTATTTTTTATTATAGAATTCATTATTTCATTTTTATTTAGTTTAAAGAAATGTAAAATTTCAATAAAACTATGCGAAAAAAAAAAGACCTTTTGCTAATTCTGTTGGCATTATATTACGCTTTTGTCCACCTATAATTAATTAAATTAATTATTAATAAAAATTAAAATTTTGCTATTTTATTAAAATTTCTTGTAGTTAATTAAAATATACATTATATTATATGCATCTGTACATATTTGCATATTTTTTTAACTTTGAAAAAAAAAAAAAAAAACATTTCAATATTAAATTATATTTTCCCAAATTTTTTAATTATCTCGAAAATAAAAAAGAAAATTTGACTAAATGATATAAAAAAATAGGAAAGAAAAAAAAAATTTTTTTCTTTTTTCTTTTCAAAAAATAAATTTCATTAAGGAAACAGAAATAATTATTATAATTTTAATTATTTAACCATTAATTATAACAAATTAAACATAACTTTATATTCTTTTGCGTAATTTGTCATACGTTCAGCACGTGTCGTACGTCGTTTTTGTGAAATACTAAATATCGAACGTTTCATATCTTTACCTTCACTAATTATTTCACTTTTTTTATCATCTATTGTTTTTGATGGTGATACTTCTGAAAAAAAAAGAAAAAGAAAGAAAAAATATAATTTTTAAAATTTGAAAGAAAAAAAGTGAAAAAAAAAATCACTGAAAATATAAAAATAGTATTAATAATTTAATTTTTTTTTCCTTTTTTTTTCTCCCTAAACTATAATTTTAATAATTTTATCTAATTAGAACAATTTTATTTTATAATTTAATAAAATTTTCTAAAAAATAAATGAACAAAAATAAGTTTAATTAATTACTTGGTTTAGCTGTAATATAAGATGCTTTAATTGGTGGTGCTTTTCTCCGATATACAATCTTTCGACTTGGTACATTAATACTGAAAATAAAAATAATCGTTTGAATTATTTTAAATATATTATTTCAGTTTTGTATTAATTAAGTTTTTTTCTCTCCCTCTTCTTCTTTCTGCTAATATATTTGTTGTAATAGCGAATTTAAATTTTTAGAATTATTAAAATTGACGTAAATCATGCAAAAAATGCAATATTTAAAATTTCTCAAAATTATTCATATACATATATATATAAATATGAAATAATTAAATTTAGTCAAAAATTATTTAATCTGAAAAATTTTTTGAAAATAATTAGTTTTATAAAAAATATGCTTTTTTTTTTCTCAATAGCATTCACTTATTTCACATATTATATATTAAATTTTCAATTTTTCTTTTTTTTATTTTAAAATTTTTGAAAAAAAATTTATAATAATTTTTTTTTTTTTAAAAAAAAAAAATCTTACACAAATTGTTGATAATCAATTTTATTACCACAACGTTTGTATGAATTATGTTCAGCTAATACACATACACGATAAGCATTTGTATTATTAAACGTGTAATGAGCAAATGCTGACATCTAAAATTTAATTTAAAATAGAATTTATATATATATATATTTTTTTTTGGACAAATAAATAAATACATGAATAGATAGGTAAATAAATAAATAAATAAATAAACAAATAAACAAATAAATAAATATATACAAATTATGTAAGATTTTTTTTTTTAAAAAAAAATAGTTATAAACACTTTTTTTTAATATTTTTAGAATAGAAAAAAGAAAAAGGTTGAAAATATTGTATAAATATATAATTAGCATAAATACATATAATTAATAACTATAATTGATTAACAAATCAATATTTCAGGAGTTAAACTTTAATTTGAAACTATGATATTTTACATTAATTGTATACGTCATTTTTTCTTTTTTTTTTTTTTAAAAAAAAGAAAAACCTACTATTTGTGCATAATTAGGCACAGTTTTTGTAAGCGTAAAAAGATCAGAACGTTGATTAGACGTCAAATTAACAACACGTATGCAACGTAAGATTAGATGAGAAAAGTGAATACGTTCCGGTTTAGCAGCTAACCATGAAATAGCTGTTTCTACTACATCAAATTCACTGCTTATATTTAAATCACATCTGTCAATTAATTATTTATCCGTAAAAAAAATGAAAATAAGGAAAAAAAGCGAATATTTATAAAGAAAAAAAAACTTTTTCTTATAAAGAATTTAGTTTAATTAATTAATTAACTAAATCGATTAGTCAAATTTATGCATATATTTGCAACATAAATTACTCAATTAATCAAAATAAATTCTCAATAAAGTCAGTTTAATATTGTGATTTTAAATTAAATGAAACATTTGATGCAAAAAATAAACGAATTAAATAAAACATTTAAGGAAGAAAAAGCCATCATTTTTATAAATTTGATACAAAAAATAAATAATTAAATATATATATATATAAGAAATTGATTAATTAATTAATTAATTAATAAGAATTAAGTAAACCGATCCAAAATACGAAGCATAGCATCAAGTGGGACATCATTAAATGATGACATCTTTCGAATAATTTGAAATTTGCTAACAGCAATATCAATAACTTTTCGTCCTAATGTTGTATCCAATAATAATTGCATACTAATCATTGCTAATGTATGCACCAGGAATTGTTCATTTTGTGTAATTGAAATTAAAATAAACTATAAAAAATTAAATTAAATTAGTAAAATTAAAAACAAACCATAAAAAAGGTTAGATTAAAGAGTATAAATAAAATATTAAATTGAAAATAAATTATAAAAAAAAAAAAGACATTAAATAAAACTGTAGCATCATTTTATAATTTATTTGAAAATTTTTATAATTTATTAAAATTTGAAATAAATTTGAAAATGAAAAAACATACTAATTTTAAAGGAAAATTATTTAAATATTCAAATGTATATATGAATTTCATTTTTATTTCATAAGAAATTTATTTGTTTTTTCATCTTCTCTTCCTTCTTTTTTTTTAAATTTAAATTAATATACATAATAATTGAAATGGATGTGTAAGTTTAAAACACGAAATAAATTTCATTATATTAAAAATAATTTATTCAAATATAATTAACTGCAATTTGTTCAAAAAAAAAAATAATAATAATTGTTTTTTTTTCTCACTTTTAATAATATATTTTGATATTATTGCTAATTTTTTCAGTTTTTTTTTTCTCTTTTTAAAAGGAAAAGGAGAATTATTTACAATTACTAACACTGATTATAGATGTAATTAAATTAATTAATTTATTAAACAAATAACTGATTAAGTGTTAAAATTAAATAATTAATTAAATAAATTAATTTAAGAAAAAAAAAATTTACTTTATCAATTTTTTCTAATAAAGATTCCATTTCTAAAAGATATGCAATTTCTGTCATATCACCAAGAATTGAATTTGTAATTCGTGCTTTAGTATTACCATCAGTTGTCATATAATTAACTAATGTTGACAGTGCTGTCACATCGTAATTGGTAAAATCTAATATTTTTGGTACTTTACCATCTTTTTCTAACTGTAAATTTAAAATTTTAACAATTTTAAAATTTTTGCTCAATTATTATTACTATTATTGTGATTTGCTATATTTTTTATCAATTAATTGCTGAAAATGCTTGAAAATTAATATTATCAAATTAAAATGATTGATTTAAAATTTTTTTTTTTTCTATGATGAAAATTTTATAATTTATATATGACAATAAAAATTTTTATAAAATAAATTAAATTATATTTGTCAATTTGTTAACCTGTTTAATTTTCTTGGAATGTTCTTTTAGAATATCAATATCAATAGCAAAATCATCCTTATGACTGT